CAGACTAGTTTACTTAAACTGCGCGCGTAAACCGAATGTTAAATAAAGTTGTAAAATTGGCAAAACCTTTTTTATGTTGGTGTGAAATTCGATCTACATATGTTAATAAGTCTGCGTTTGGCAACTACATACTCGTATGTATTTGTTTACGGCGCGAGAAGTTTGGCGACTTTTAACATGGAAAAAATTTTAACAGCGAGTTTGCTTGTTTTTCTGTTTCCAATAGAATCACGGTTGCGGAAATTGCTGAAAATGTTAGGAAAGTGTTTTGGAGAGCTTACTTAATCACGAACACAAGTATACGAGTGGCACAAAGCATGCAGTGAAGGCCGTGAAGTCACCGAAAATTTGTTTCATGCGAGTCATTTAGACACCTTTGTTAATTTAAATAATATCGAAAAACTCAAAGAAACTTAAAAATCGTCGTGTTGGCATCAGAAAGATGATAGTTTCACTCAATATCTCTTATGAATATCTCTCATGAACACGACTCAACACATTTTGGTTAATGTTTTGGGTATGAAACGTGTCAATACTAGGCTCGTACCAAAATACCTCAATCTTTTGCAAAAACGACTCGCAATAGATATTTTTTTTTTGAAATTACAGTATGTAAGCACGTGTAGACTTCGCATGCGACAACATTGTGTTCATGTGATTTATACACTTAGTCTATTTATTTTAATAAATCGAAATATAATACAAATATTAACAACCAGAAGATTTGTACTTTGAAATTTACTCGTGTGGAACTATGTCATCAGCTCGTCGGTTATTTCCCATATTTCTTAATTAGAAGTGTACAGTATTTGTAAAAGCGTGTAAATTGCAAATGGGGAGAGGTTATCTTGAGTTCATAAAATATTGATTCAAGATTCGAATTTATACGATTAGAACGATTTTAATGTCTCAACGCTTCAATATTTTTAAATTTCGCTAACCTATTTGCCGGTTCATTTTCGCTTTAAACTCTTAATCAGCACTCTTTAATGCTCGCTCACTCTCAGTTACTCTCATATTGTTTCCTCTTTATTAAATGACTATTATCAGTAAATTTTAAATTATCTATCAGTTTACTTTTAATTTATATAAGCTCGAATAGTTATACCTCAGAATTTGCATTGGTTCCTCTGTGTGTAAGATATTTCTGTTGTTGCGCTTTCTGTTTTGCTCTCTCAAGAATCTTATTATTGGCTGTTTCCATGCGCAAGGGACTGAGGAGAGAAAATATTAATTTTTTTCGCTCTTTTGACAATTGCACAGTGGGACTTACTTGAAATGCATTCCTAGAAGAGTTTTTATCAGCATTTACGGGCAATACTATGTTGTAGGCGTTCTGAAAACAAAGCGAAGTATATCTAGAATGATTTAAGCGATTATATCCACTTGTGAATTTCCAAAAATCTACTTTTTTATTGAATGTGCGTATATTTAAAAATATTTTCCGAAAATTTTAACTCGATCCGGCAAATAGTTTCGGAGATATGAGCGTATTTGTAAGGACATTTTCGAGCGTTTGAATCGGCCCATAATAGTTTAACCGCGTTTTTATCGAAACCCAGTTTTCAGAGACGGTGAAGAAATGTCTGCCAAACGGCGGAACCGACCGACTTGATATTTCCACACGACATTCTTAAATGTATATTTCATGTAATGAACGAAGAAATAAAATTTTTGATAACAGTTTCGATTTTTTAAGACAAATTTTAAAATTTTATCAAAAAATCCTTCGATCATTACTTCTAATTGTCTGTAGTAATAATCCTTTTTTTTTTGGCTTTTTGGATTTAAGATAATTTTAAGCGGAAAAGCTTGCTCACCGCCAGACAATTTTTTTCGGAGATCCTCCTGGAGATTGGATACATTCCATTTTCTAAATGCTCTTTGTTTTTATTTAATTATTAGATAAAATGCGTCTCAAAAACTTTGAAAAACGCCTTTTTCTAACTTGCGAGTTGATATAATGATTTAACTAGAACCATTGAGCTATAAGGGATTGGAAAAGTTTTTTGTAGGCTTAACTTCAGACTTCGCCGAAGAAGGACTTAATTTTCCTGGCGCTTATTGATTTTCCTGTTAAAAAACACGTTTAAGAACTATGTCTAATCCTTACAAAATTTTCTAAATCATATTAAGAAACTTGGAGTCATGTCTGATATTGTGGATTGATTTTAAAGTTTATTGAAACTTGTTAGCACAAAATAAGCCTTTCGCTAGATGACTCCAAGCGTGCACCCACTAAGAAACCTCTAGACTGGGCTTTATTTAACAGCAACGCTACCAAAAACATAATGGTGTTATGGACTGAATGTCGTATGTTTTGGTTTGTTCTCTTGTTATCTGGAACATAAAACCCCCAGTATCATGGCCCCCTCCTCCTTTAAAGACTACATACATATGTATATCTTGTTCGGTTGTTAAACTACACTTCATGGTTTTAACCACTATTGCACCTCACCTACCCCACTGTGCATCTGTGTGCGCGTGCCCTTCGTAAGCGTCTTCGTTATTTATTTAATTTTATAATCGTGCCGCATAGATATGCTACAATCTACCATATTGACCGATAACGACAAAGCGGAAAAAAGCAGTGCTCACCGTGCTCATCATTTGAGTAATATTTTCCATTTAAATAGCCTCACAACCGGCAAAAAACCTCATTCGACTCAACGGTTGCGGCCAAAGCAGTACTCGTATCGATCACTTAAGCCCGCGCACACACGCACACACACACACACACACGCACACATCTACATCGCGATTTTGTAAAGCCAAATAAAATAATTTATTGCTGATTCTAGTGACTTCTAACAAATTGCTTGGGAAAGCACATAACCAAATTTTTTTACATTTAAAATGGGTACGAAAATATTTAATTTGTGATTAAAAAATTATTTGCTAGAGAAAGTGTTTCAAGTGCCAGAATTTAATACCAAAAGTTGTTGAATTTAACATTTTTTTTAAAGTAAATTAAAATTAAATTAAATTAAAATTTAAAAAAAATGTTAATGAAAATAAATTTAAAAAAAAAATGATAACTTAATAACTTTTTTTTAATTAAGAAATAATTTGTTTAAGAAAATATATAGTGTTTGGAAAAATTTTACATATACATACATAAGTACAAATTATCTTTTGTTGTTGTGACTCAATAAACGAACAATTCGGTTTTCAAAGAAAGTGAATTTTTTGTGTTAAATATTACTTACAAAAATGTAAATTAAATTAATCAAACAAAATTTTTTTTAAAAAGTTCACCTATTAAAAAAATTTAACCTATATTTCAAGGGTATTTTTCAATTTCTTCTTAAGTTAAAGTCAGAATTTAATACCAAAAGTTGTTGAATTTTGAATTTTTTTTAAATTAAATTAAAAAAAAAAAAAAATGTTAATGAAAATAAATAAAAAAATGTTAATGAAAATAAATTTAAAAAATATTATACTTAAACCAAAGTATTTTTTTTTTGTAAGAAATAATTTGTTTAAAAAAATATTTAGTTTTGTAATGAAAACAGTTTTTTAATAAAAAAATATTTTGTTTCGTAATGAATACATGTTTTTTCAAAAAATAGTTTTTAATAGACAAATATCTTGTTTTTACTTTAAAACTTCTAGTAAATTAATTTATGAAAGTCAGCTAATTTAAAAAAAAAAAGGGTTTGATGAAAATAATAAATATTAAAATTTAAAATGCATATGTATACATTTATGTGAATTTTAAATAACTATTCACTTTTTTATTTTTTTTAAGAATAATCACATGCAATATAATATAAAGTTTTCAAATATTTTTTTGTTTTTGCTTAAGATGTTGTTTTTTAATAAGGATTTCAAAAATACTTTAAAATGCATTTCTTATATTTTATTATCCTTTTTTGGCTGAATAAATATAATAATAATAAAAAATAAATAATGAATTTTTTTACAAAAACAAACGCAACTAAAGTGTTTTAATTTAATACATAAAATATTACAATAAAAAATAATTAACTATTACAATATCAATTTTTGCAAGTAATTAAAAGAGTAATTAAAATTTTTCATTTTTATTTTGATATACATACATATTTTATTTATTTTTTATTTATTCTTTTTTAACAAGTTTGGATTTAATTATTATATATGTATGTATGCACATATGTACATATACACATAAAAATATATAAATAATTTGTAAAAAAATCAATTATTTTTAATTTTCGAATTTTGTATTATTACCTAATTTCGAAATTTTATTATAATTTGTAATTTATATTCAAATTAAAAATTTTTGAAATATATTTAAAAATTTCAAAATCGAGTTTTGATATAATAATACGAATTTCAATGAAACAAATATTGAATACTAAAAATTTAATACTAAAAAGTATTTGTTTTAAGATTTTTAAACACATAATTTTTGTTACTAACAAATTAAACACATTTTTTTAAACAAAATAAATAATTTTTTTTAACACAATTAATTAAAATTTAATTTTTTTGTGTAGTTGCCGAATTTTAAAATTTTATACATAAAATGAAAATTTTCAAAAAATGAATTTTTAAAATGATTTGCGATTAATAATTTATTTCGTTTTGATAAAAAAAAAATTTTCCTTTTAAATTTGTTTAAAAAAATATTTTGACTTGTTAATACGAAATTTTTTTTTTTTAATTTTGAATAAATATTTTGAAATTGTAAATAAAAAAGTATTTTACTATTCATATACACCAAATATTTAAGATAAATTTCATTTAAAAAAAAATTTAATTAATTTTATTTTAAATTTTAAATACTAAATTTTATTGACAATATAATTTAATTATTATTTGAGTAATTGTATCAAAGAAAGATTGTCTTAAGATTTATATAAACTAAATATTTTAGTTAGAACTTAATTTAAAGAAGTAAAATTATGCTTTAAAATCTTAAGTCCTCAATAATGTCACCTTTTTGTTATAATTGAGCACTTCGCATTCTTTTATTAACTTCCCTTCGTATTTTTCTCGTTTCTTTACAGAGGCAATGCGTAAACTCGACGCCACCTTGGTCGCCTACTTGGCCGGCGAGACCAAGTTGCAATCGAAGCAATTGGAGTCGGAGCTGGACCTGGAGCTGGATTTGAATTCGCAGAATGAGTCGAACGTCGATGACAACGATGAATATGTTCTGGAAGAATTCGCCGATACTGTTGTTGAAACGGTTGAGAATATTACACGTGAAGAATTGCAGCTATTCAGGCGCATCAAAAGCATGAAACTGCAATTGGAAGCGCTTACACTAGAGCCAGAGGGCACTAAACGTATGGAGCTGCTACAAAATGATACACGTCCGATATTCACCGTTGAGTGTCAGCTATCGCATGAATTGATCCAACAGTTGCCACGCTATGAAATGTTTCACATTATGCAATTCGAATCAGAGAAATTCCACAGCCTAACCCAGTGCACCCGTTTCGGTCAGGAGGCACAACGCGATATCAATTTGACGCCCATAATTGATGAACTCGACAACACTTTGAATGGCAATGGCAACGACAGCGCCGCTGCGGCTGGTGTTGCCCCCAACTTCGGACGCATACACTTTGCCGTCTGGTGGCGCGAACCGGGCACTTGCCTCAATGAAATGCTCGGCATGGGCGTATTCGAATTACGCGAACTCTACGATGCCGCACTCTTGGAGCAGTGCAAGCGCATTACAATTCAGCGACGTGGCGTGCCACTGGCCAATATCTATTTGAAAATCAATCTACTTTTGTGTACTTTGGCTGACACCAACAACAACAACAATGCAGCCGATTTGAGCTGTGAGGCAGCCTTGCAAGCCATGAAACAACAGCCGGGCGGTGGTAACAAGAAAAAGAGTGGCAGTGGCAAGGGTGCCGCACAATCTTCGGCAACTGGTGCTGCCAACAACACCGCCAACTCCTCGAATACTACAGGTGAATATCAGGTTGAGCGTTTGCTGTACTTGAAAGATACCGACATTCAATGACTAAGAACACTGTGTGTGCGCGTGTGCGCGAATCCGCCATTCGTTGGTGAATCAAAACAACAACAACAACAACATAATGGGTCTAACGTAAATAGTGCCCACATCATAGATTCTTCTAATTACATCATATTACAAAAAACGAATTTCATCATTATTACAAATGATTGCGTAGATGATTTCGTATATGATTTAGTATTTATTATTAATAGTTATGGTTTTAGGGTTGCATTTTTGGAACAAGACAAATTCGTATTTGTAATTTTCTTAGATTGGTTTATTTTAGAGTTTATAATAAATATTTTGAATATAGTAGAAAAAAACGAACAAGAAAAGACAAAAAAAAAAAAACAAAAACAAAAAAACGAAACAAAAACAAATTTCTTTGTATTTCTAATTATTTTTATGTATGTATGTATGTGCTTGGTGATTTATTTTGCTATATTTTACGTTATTAATCACACCCAAGGCGTTAATTTGGCGCTGTCACCTTAGCGTATGTTTTGCCTAGCCTTCCGCATGCTTGGTTTTGCGCGCCTTGCTGTTAACTCATTGTCAAACTTTTTCTAGGCGCTTTGAGTCATCGATAGACGCAGATATTTCGATTATTTGTAACGCAAGTTTTTCAAGTTAGACTCCATTTTCGAAAGTTTGATTTCCTAATTTTCGAAAACCATGTTTATGAACGTTAAACAGTATGTTCTATGCTCTGCGGTATTGAACAGAGTCACTTTTGCTTGCCTTCAACTCAGTTGAGTTAACATAACGGGAAATGCACTCGTACTTGTATGCAACAAAAACTTTCTCACGCTATCCAGTATAGACCCCGACATACAAAACATATGTCCTGCATGCAAAGAGTGTCTGTATGACTCTAACTACCTCTTTGCATGTCCCGCTACACCTAAACTCACTTAATATCCCACTTCCTTTGGTTCGACAACGTCCGAAACAGCTCGTTTACTGGACCTACCCGCCTAGTGATTTCGTTAACAGTGCATTTGGCTATTGCCCCCAAACTGGCTTTAGGTACTCACTACAACAAAAACTACTATTTGTGTCATAATTTGAATTGGTACTACAGCATTCATTAGCCGTAATTGTTGTATCAGCTTAGTGTTAATGCTTGAGCAGTTTAAAATTTGGGCCCATAGTTACAACTGTCTTAGAATTGGACGCGGTAACTGAGGTAAATATTATTCATAGAGAAGTTATCATATCTTCGACTCGGAGTCTGACCGTGAATAATATTGTTTGGCTCAAAACTACCGTTCACAAGACAGTCGGGTCAACGTAACCGGAATGGATTCGGATTTTTATCCGGCTAGGACCTGTAACCAACTGTCAACGCAACAACAACAACTCAATATTGCATTGTAAATATTGCAAATCGTGTTTTGGATGTTGTAGTTGTCTAAAATATTACTCAGAAACATACATCCCTTTATTTGCTATCCTCTTCCGCCGCAACGGCTAGATATGCTAGAAGCATAGCACACAGCTCTTACTCCTCAACTTCCGTTGGTAAAGGTAAAAATATCGCATGAATCTTTTTACTTCTAGAGATTGAAGTCTATTTTTGTAACTAGAGCAATATCTAAAGTTATGTACTTCAAAGTCTATCTTCTTAATGATTATTGCGTGGATTAACTTACTACGTAATTAATAATTAATTTTAATAATAATAAATAATTTTAATAATACTTAATTTTAATAATTTGAATAATAAATAATTTGAATAATAAATAATTTTAATAATTTGAATAATAAATAATTTTAATAATTTTCTAAGATTGTTAGATACAGCAACTCTAATTTTATTGGCATTCGTTTAATTATGCCATTTAATAGCCGTCTGAGTCGAGGTCATTCTTCGATTTTGTATAATATTTTCACTGAATCTAAAATTCTGAAGGAAAAGTTGGAATAGTATTCATTAACATTTTCAATACAGTCTATTCTTATGGCTATCTGAATCTTAGCTCCACCAATTGAGAACGAAGCATGTAAAAGAACATCGCGCTACGTCGCCCCTTAAACATAGGTTATACTTATTTTAAACTATTCAGAATAAACTAAAATCGCTCTTAACCTCACATTTTCTATGAGAGCTTTTAACATAATACCGCTAAATTCTATTCTATATATTAAGCAGATTTTTCAGTAAGTCCCAGAAAATAGTTATTATTCCTATAACATTTGTTTTTTTTGGTATTCTCTCTAATTCTCACCCAATTAATGAATAAATATATCGTTTAGCTCAAGTTTTTGAACACAAATACTTATTTTGAATGCGAAAACAGACTTCTATTTACTTATTAAATACAATTACGTGAAGCATGGATAATACCTAATCTGAGTAAGATTTCTTGTACCAAACAACCTAACCTAAAAATGTCGTACATATAAATATTGTTGGGCTTTGTTGTTAGAATCAAGCTATGCCAAGCTTTTATATCTATATACTTCACAATTGAGAAAAAAAACTCTTATTTTCTTATTGTTGTTGTGGTAGCTGCGTAAAATATTCTAGAATGTAGCTGAGTTTTGACAGATCTTGTTCTGATATACCGTTTAAATCCGGGTCCATTCTGTTTATGTAGATGCGAGATCCATAAAGCCTTACGTACAAAAGAGGACAGCAGAAATCGTAGGCTAAATATATAACGAATTTAAAACAAAAGCAAATTGCTGTTCGAAACTTGGTTTCAACACTGCGAATGCGTAAAATAACACTGGTTGGAAATTTTAATATTGCACGAAAGGTCCGTGGCAATTTGATATATATTTTTTTCAGCTGTAAATAAATATTAAATAATTTAGTTATAATTATTATAAATTTTAAGCGCGCACTTTTGCTGCCAAGTTAGAAAATATATTCAAATAACATTTACACATACATACATACATATCAAATATAATACCTGTACTAAGTGTTTTTTTGTAATATCGCCTAAAACTATGCATCAAAGGTATTTTTTCAGTACGCTATAAAATTATTTTCCGATATTTCCTAAATAATATTATTCTAAAATATACATATGTATATCTTCACAGCTAAAGAAGCCAACACCAAAGACAACAATGACGAAAAAGTCAGCACAAGCGCTGGGTTTAATGATGAAACACTGAAAATACGCCTATTAACGGGTTTGATCTGCGCCACCAAGGTGAACTATTTGGAAGACACGGTGAATCATCAATTTGAGCTACTGTGCGAGCGTTTTTGGAGAGCACAACCCACCACAGCAAGTGCCAAAGGTGGCGACCAATTTTATTATCAAGAGGTGAGTGAGTTTGCTCAAAGCATATAGCTTGCTTTTTTCAATTATAGACTTCAAATATATTATAAGCATATACTCTATTTTTTAGCAATTCGCCATTTTACGTGATACAAACTTCTTGAATCATGTCAAACGTAAGCATTTACGTTTACTGATTTATCAACATCCAGTAACTGCAGTTATTGACGACATGAATGGTAATTCGGAAGAACTGTTACAATTTGATCCTTGGGGCTTAGTCTTATTGCCGTTGCATCAATTTTATATAGCATTCAGTAACGATGATATGGCCAATCGTATGATTAAAGAGAAGGTGTGTATGTGGGTATATAAGTATGTATATTATGGTCCGTTATTTCCCGAGTTGATTTTTGTTTTGCAAACGCTCTCTCTGGTTTCCGGTTTTGTCAACAATTTTTCCTATATCTCCATAGAAATTAAAAAAACACTATATAAAAAAATTAAATTCTAATTAAAAATTTCCCGATCTACAAAAAATGTTTGAATGATCATACTCTGAAAAGGGTATATTATGTTTGCCACGAAGTTTGTAGCACCCAGAAGGAATATATGAAATATACATATCAGCATGATGAGTCGTCTGTCTGTCTGCCTGTATATATACGAAGTAGTCGCTCAGTTTTTGAGATATCGATCTGAATTTTTGCACCTGTCATTTTCTCACCAAGAAGCTGCTTATTTGTCGGAACGGTTGATATCGGTTCACTATAGCATATAGCTGCCATACAAACTGAACGATTGGAATCAAGTGCCTGCATGGAAAACTTTTTCATTTGACGAGATATCTTTACGAAATTTGGCATGGATCATTACTTAAAGCATTAATGCCTACTTCGAAGAAATTGTTCAGATCGGATCACTGTACCATATAGCTGTCATACAAACTAACGGGTCAGAATAAAATGTTTGCTTGGAAAACTTCTTCATTTGACGAGTTATCTTCATGAAATTTAGCATCAATCATTATCTAAGGCAATAATGCAATATCTATAGAAATTGGTTAGATAGCATCACAATTGCATATAGCTGCCATACAAACTAAACGATTGGAATTAAGTTCTCGTAAGGAACCTTTTCTTCTTGGGAAGGTTATTGTAGCTTCGTTGCAACCGAAGTTAACATTTTTTCTTTTATTTTCATAAAAACATTCCTTTAAAAGTTATACGCAGTTCAAATTATGAATCAAATGTACTAAGCATTCGTAAAGGTGCCTTATAAATTATGTGTTGCTCATACGACATGGTGTACTGTATGACTGCTCAGTTACTGAATGGCACTTGATATATAACTTTTTACTTGTAAAGAAGTGGTTTTATGGAAAAACCAATAAGAACTTTTTTACCGGGCGGAACATTTTTTACTAGAATATCATTTTTTAAGGTTGTATGCTTACTTGTTTAATAAATAATTTTAAAAAATCCCATGTTAAATATAATATAAATATGACTCACACACGATTAAAATTTTAAACAAAGAGCTTGTTAACGTTGCTTCTTTTTTTGGGCAAAAACTGAAACTTCGGGGGTGGTTGAAAAAAAAAAATTTTTTTACTTGTGAAATAACGTACACCCTAATATATATATAATATTATAATAATAATATATATTTAATTTTGTTGTAAGTGATAATATCTATATATATTTATGGATTTTTTCTAATCATTTAGATGCCCGTAATATCGTTTGACGCTTGGGCACCTATCTATGGTGCGAATGGACAGGCATTGGGCGAAATCAAATGTCTACTAGCAATGGGTAGTGAACAGCAGATAAATGAGCTTAAAAAGCAACGCGATATCAGACCCATACACTCCGACATATTTAGCAATTTGGGTGCAAATTGTGAAAATCCACTATTTAGCACAATTCGTATGCCGAACAAAAACTGTAAGCATGCTATTGTGCAGACGGACAAACAGCAAAGTATTCGCACCACAGTAGAGTTGATGGAAATGTTACAAGAGGCATTGCAAAAAACCCATAAGGCTAGGGAAAGCAATCAAAATTCAGATACGTCGCCGTTACCGGCGACAACAACGTCAAAACAAAGTACAGAAAGAGCTCCAAGTGGCATTAAGGATGATGAACCATCTACATCACAGGCCGCTGCTGGGTTATCAAAATCTTCATCAGCAACTTGTACAACCAATGCTGCATTTGGCGAGCGCAATAAACCCATGCAAAAGCCATTCATATTTGAGCTGGCAATAAATTGTGCCGTTGGATTGACACTAAATCCTGGCGATCGTTGTAAGCCTGGAACAAAAGAACCTTACCGTTCGGTTTCGAAACGTTTTCCGCCAGGTGAACCGCCATCTACGTACGTCACATTCCAAGCAAATGACTGCATAGGTAGTAGTGGATGCTATAAGTCGCATGAGGGAAACGTATATGCCACAAAGGTTGTGGTACGCTCGCTCGTGCCGCATTGGTTACAAACGTTTTCGGTCACTGTGGACTGGGATTATTTGACAAATGTGGGTACATTAATGTGCTACCATTTATATATTAGTATATAAATACGCAGGGTTGCAAATAATGCATTAAAAAATTAATTGAATTAACATTTGATTTTTTTTTTTTTTTTTATTCGTAATCTCGAGAATCTTAATTAAAAATAATTTTTAAATTTTTAATTCCAAATACGGAATCGACAACAAACAAATTTTATTCCGGTCTATACGTATCTCCTAAAACTTTTAAGCTATTTCAATCATATTACTTCTCTTACAGCACCGGAAAAGTTTCGTTTTGAAGTTATGGAAGAAGGCGAACGTGTCACCGGCTAATGACAGCGACAGCACAAATACCACTATAGAATTGGTACCCACACCGAATGACGATGCCATCATCGGTTATACAACTTTGGACTTGAGTATTTTCTTAAGGGGTTTGCATTTAGCTGGTGTTTTCAATGTGTTCGATTTCAATGGACGCATTACGGGAAGGTTAGAGTTACAAGCCAAACCAGCGGATGACTGGTATGTTCAGTATATGATGGAAAAACTTTGGCAGACAACACATAACCAACAAGCAAATATGGCAAATAAAACAAATTTAACTCTCGCTGCTGCGTCTGCTACTACTACCACTACTCCGGCTGCTACTACAACCACTGCTGCGGCTGCGGCTGCTGCTGCTCCTGTTACAAAAGTCGATGCTGAGATTTACGAATTGGGAAAATCGCTCAAAGTTAGTCATCTAAATCTAAATGAAGCAGTCAATTTCCAATACAAAGATCTGACAGAAATATCTAAACGTTTGCGTTCGCGTCTTTCTGATGTGACTGGTGAAACTTTGCCAGATGTATTTAATGTGGATACTCTAAATAATTGGCAACCACTAAATGAATTAGTTGATGCAGATGTCGAAATGGATTGTGATATGAGTGAATTTGAGCGCGATCTTAATGATCCGTCAGCAGCAGCAAACGACATGGATACATGTGATAAAAGTGATAAGAATGAAAAAAATGATCTCATAAAGACGGCGCCTGGCGCAGCCGATCCCGCTATTGATTAGTGGCAACGTAAACGCAGGAATACAACTAAGTCAGCGTTAAAATCAAGAGCTATTAACATTACAACTAATCTAATATATATCACACTCTAGCGCATTTGCGCCAAATAATAGCACATTTAGCATCAAAACTAACATTTTTAGCACTATCACCACCGACCGACCGAAAATGTATTACCACAAGCAAGCTCCTTCATCATTAAACCGCCTACATACATACATTTTTAATAAAAAGCTCAATAGTACTTAATGAACTGTATGCGACAGCAGGAAAGAAAGAAGTCTGCATGTTTTTTTGCCAATTTTTATTATTAATAATAAAATTATATGTGTACCAGTATGATATAGCTATAACTATTACTAATTATAATTATAAAGGAAGTTTTAAACGGCCTGCGAAACTTATATATAGCTAAGCGAAATTGTTATTACTTTCTTCTTCCCTTTTTATCATTATAAATCTTAAGGTGTATTCATAGACGAAATTAAAGAAAATAAAAAATGCTTACAGCTTTCTTCACAGTTAAGCTAAGAAAAATTATATCCAAAGGCTGACTACTTTATTTCGTCTATAAATTAGCCACATAGTATTTCACTAAATTAGCATTAATTGTTTACTATATATATGTATGTAATTACATATATACACATATAGCGATAAGTATTGAATTGTTTACTAAATTACGAATGAAAGAGAACTTGTATTCTTAAATTAAATATTTATTTGCTCTGAATTATTATTATTTTTATTAATTAATATAATATTTGAAAAATTCTAATTTTATGTTAAAGCTATTGAATAATTCATTGGAAATTGGAAAAAATTGAAACAAGTAAACATAAATGTATTTCAAGTCTTATCTAAATAAGTCCAGCAACAAGATCTTCGTGTATGAATTTAAAAATAAAAATCAAAATCGAATTCAATAAAAATGTTACTGGTTTTATGTGAAATTAAATGGACTTTTTAATTACCGTTACAAAAAGAAATATAGTACTAGTTTCATGTGTCTGGTGCAGATTTAGTATCAGCAAGCAAAGTTTTTACTAATTCTATGGAAACCTATAACTAAATAAAATCGTTTTAAGCAGGTTCAGTGACAGGAAGTAAATTTATTAACAATTTTTGCGAATCTAATATTTTTATAACTTCCACAAGGTATATAAGTTTGCCACGAAGTTTGTAACACGCAGAAGAAAACGACGGAGTCCCTATAAAATATATATGTACATATGTGTATAAAGGTTCAACGTGACTAAGTCGATCTGAAATTACGCACAATTCCTTTTCTCCCTAGGCAGCTGCTCATTTGTCGGAACCACAGATATCGGATCACTAGACTATACCAACGGAACGATCAAATACATGTAGCGAAAACTTTTTTATTTGATAGGATATTTTCTGGCCATTTGGCATGGATTTTTGTCCAAAGCAATGGTACAACGGTGCAATCTCCGAAAAAATTGCTTAGATGGGGCTACTATAGCATATAGCTGCCACACAAGCAACGGTAGATTCTCCTAAAAACTTGTTTAGATTGGAATACTATATCAAGTAGCTGTCAAACAAACTGCTCCATCAAAATCCCGTCCTTGTATGAAAAACTTTTATATTTGACTTGATATCTTCACGAAAGCATGGATAATTGTTCAAAGCAACGGTACAATCTCCGAAGAAATAGTTTAAATTGGAATATTATAGCATTTAACTGCTATAAAAACTGACCGACCAAAATTAAAACTTTATGCTATAAGAAATGCACCTGTGAAGGGTATTACGATTTTCTTGTTTTCAAATATTGAGCATTTAACGTCATGAAACATTACACACCGTAAAGGTCGAACTCCATAACAAGCGTGCACATTATTTCAAACACGAATTCGGAAACGCATATGAGTTGTTTAAGCATATCGTTCAACGCATCTGCCTATTGGAAATATGTCAATATGATTATTCAATTATCACTCAAAAAACACAATTTTATTGGTTGAAATCTTTAAAAGATGTATTTTTGAATCATCAACCTGAAAATGAAAAAAAAAAATATATAAAATAACGGTCGATTTTGACATCTATCGATACAACCTTATATAATTGGTTTGTATCATGCATTAAATCATCAAAATGTAAACAAAAAGTTCATGAGGAAAAACACATAAAACAATATCTCTGACATTAGGGATTAAATATTTTTTTCGTAGGAGGAAGCACGCTCTAATGAAGTCATGGATTGAAATCTTTAAAATTTTGATGCGTAAAAAACAAAACGAAACGGTAGATTTTGACATTATGAATTAAAGCACTTGTGACAAACATTTAAATATTATTCTTATAAATTTCTGAGTAAGCATACAATTTCTTTACGTCTCAAAAGTTAAAAATATTTTTTTAATGAAAATAATAAAATGTCTTGACAACTCTGATTGAGGGACAAATTGATTGTCACGAATAGTGCAATATAAAATTGGTGATAGCTGTCAAATGATTTTTGACATTTCTATTACTCCGCCTGTTCGTTCTCTGCAAAAAATTTCATCCCATTCAGTCAGAAACGTCAATTGGTGGCGAGTTGATTATTTTTTTTGTATTTTTCATTGAAGTTTGTTGCAATTTTTTATTAACTTGGTTTTTACATGACCCCCACACACTGGTGACCAAATTAGGCAAACAGCCGTGGTATTCTTCCACACGAAACTACTAGAAAGAAATGAAAAAGTGCAGATAGTTTTTATAAAGTAAGCCTTAGATATAATTTGTAATTGAACGTGGTGAAAAGAATACTTATTGGTTTCCGAACAAAAAATTAATATCTAAACGCTGTAGAAGTGTATACATTCGCTGGAAATTGTAAGACAAGTTAAAACATAAAACTAAAAATCTTCAACAGTAGCGACATACATATGTAAATAGTGAAGTGCTGTGACGTAGGAGAGTGAAAATTAATTACAAATGCACCTTTATCTATAAGCGTTGTGAAACAAAAGACTGTAATATTTCATCAAAGAAAGAGTTGAAGCACAAAGCGGCACACGCCAGCACGTATAGCAACGTACGCTGGACAAGAGGACTCTAGAAACGCGGAGACAGCCAACTAACTGCTTGCATATATTCGCGAACATTTACATATACCTATATGTGCGTACATATGTACAAAGCAGCCGTCGTATACATTTCCAAAATTTAAGTAGGTAAGTTATTGCTGCAATGGCCAAGTCGTTGGCGATTTATCGCTATTATATGTGTATGCATACATATATTTTCATATGTATTTATGTGTATTTTTTCTTGATTAGTCGTTGATATTGTAGAAGTGGCGTAGAACGTTTCTGTTTACCTGCATACATATATTATATTTGAACGTTTTTTCGAGTAGAGAAGGTAATCGGATATTTGCAAAACTTGCAAGCCGGTTGCTATAATCGCACTTTCTTTGCTTACACATTTATATATACTTGTATATATATATATATGTGTATGCATGTGCATGACGTTGACGCCTTTTAGTCAGTGAGTACCTGAGTGATTGTCTTAAAATGTCACGCACCTATCCTCATGCTACTAAGTTAGCCTAGTTATAATAGGCATACAACTGTATATACATACATACATCTATAAGAATGTAAGCAGGCGCAATTAGTTCCACTAAAATGTTGTTATTTTTGATGTGTTGGCCAACGACGTGCAACAATAGACCATTTGAAATTTATGTTTGCCGCATTAGTTAGTTAGTAAATGCTTTGCTCTAACGATTTTAAACACATACTTAGTTGCTAATTTCTCCAAGCTGTGACATACTTTGTTAATGTTTTATTTTGTATGTTATTTTAGCTTAACTTAAAGTTACTTTTCCAACGTTTGCAGTCTTTTGGAGCTTTATTTGCAAAATATGGATATATCATATGTTCATATGCGCAAATTACATATATTGCTTGCTTGGAAATTCGATATTTTAATAATTTTTTGTACATTTGTTCAACTTGAGTTTGAAAGTAATATCATCGCAAATTCTCTGAATGTTCAAAGGCACATGTGTTTGTTTTTGATTTGATTTGTTTTTTGATTAGTCGCGAATCATATACATAACTATTCAGCAGAATATCGCTTTTGCTATAAATGACATATAAAATATAAGCAAAAAATATTTATATTCATTATTAAAAACAAAAATAAATGTACAAAAAACCAAATACGTTGCAAAATAAAATAAACAAAACGCTGCTACCTTATCAATCGCAGTACAATAAACCTCATTTTACATTCAAAACTTCCTGCCTCCACACATTGCATATGCGTTTGATTGAAGCTTTGACCAGCCTTAAACGGCATATGTATTACAAATCTACAGAGTAGATATGAATTCCCACAAAACCAGTACGTTATCAGCTGTAATAACAACAACAATAATAATAAACAAGCAGCCGCTTGCGTTTCAATCAATTTTAGCAAATCGTAAGCAAAATGTTTTTTTTTTTGGTTTTTATATATACATACGTATACACAAGCTCTTTATTGACTTAATTTTGTTTACAAATACATTCAAGTTCTTTAATACTTTCACATATACCATCTGCATCAACCCATTGCAAGAATTGCCTTGCGGTTGGTTCTTTTCTTTTATAAGTTTATTATTACGTCGACATTGTTTTTGTTAGCGCATTGTTGTGCCACGCCGATTTCATTGATATATTTTCTCTGTTCGTGAAATGTCTGTTTATTGTCAATGTTTGACCTAAAAATAGACCTAAAGTCTATGTAGCCGCCGTCAAATCAATTTCTTTCAATTCAATACTATTAATTGGATTCGATTCTGAAGTAAAAGTAAATAGAGAAATTGTTTTTGGAAGTAAAATGGAATAAAATAGAAAATAATGGACGAATATAATCAATTATGAGTGCATACATACTAAGGCTCCAGGTATGACATATGCTTACAATTGTATTTACGGCAGCGAAAGAGTTGATAATTTGAGAATAATTTTTTTGGTATGGAAAATGTAGTTAAATGGTTTTTCCAAAAACTTTAATAGATATATAGAAAATAGTAGCAATACTATACGATTGTAGACTTTTTTTTTTAAATTATTTTAATTAATACGATATTATTGTTTTTTATTTAATTTTTGCTATATTAATTTTTACATTTTTAATTTTTTTTTTAACGCACTATATTAGTTATTTTAATTATTATAATTTTGGTAATCTTTTTTTTGTTTTTTAATATTTATTTTTTTAATATTTACAAATATTTTAATTTTTTTAAATCATTTTTAATTTTTTTTAATGTGACGATTTTTTTTTTTTTATTTGTATTAAATCATTATCGTATTGTTTTTTTTTTAATAATTTTTTTGTTTAATTTAATAAATTTTTTTTTATTTACATTTTTTTGTAGCTTTAAATTATTATTTTTTAAACGTACTGCTTGTAATTATCTTTTCCTCATTTGCTTTACAAGCACTGCAATTCCTTATCTCTACCAGCCCCTTTTAAAGTAGGTTCTGTGCCTCAAAACCTACTTAGTTCAAGACTTATCAGTCTTGTGGTTTGATGTGGTTGTTATTGCTGTAGCGGCAGAATTCTGCCGAGGTTTGAGCTCGTCTCTTGTGGCTTAAGCTTTCATGAATATTTAGTAGACGGCAGCGACATATCAAACAGCTGATGTACACAACTTCATTTTTCACTTCAATGAAATTTAAATGCTTTGTTCAAAGTAAAATTTTTTGTGCAAAAAATTAATAAATTGATCGATTCATTGCTTGAAATTAAAATTGTTACTACAAATGTTATATCAGTGCTATTTTATGCTTCTTGAATATTTTTACATTTCACATATTAGTGGCAACACTACAGCTGGCTATTGTCGTCGGCAAAATTAGATATGGTTTTAATTTAGCAACAGTGGAAGCCTGCTGCCATGAAGCCGTACTGTTGTCTAAACAACTGTGCCGAAAATAACGTGCGTATTTGAATATTTGACAAACCCTGCTTCTCGCTTGTCGTCGTCTATGTGTTTCATGCATTAGTCTCGCTTCTGTGTTTTTACGCAATTTAAAAGCGTGCTGCAGCGATAAGGCAATTTTTTTTATTAAATGCAGTGCTACTTGAACAGCTGATAAAATGTGCATACATGTGACTTGTGGTTTATAAAGTAAAACTTTGTGCTTTATTTTAATTAATGTCTTTATTAATAAATGTACATATCTATGAATGACGATTATTATATGCTGCGTATTGGCTTTTTTTTTTCTAAATGCTTGAGATGATAAAAATCATGTCGCAATAACTGTATGTGATTTGCGTATGTACATGTGTATGTACCATATCTATGTAGTATTAAGTTCAGTGCATAAAACCTTGAGCAGCTACATATATGTATGTAAGCTCTATACATATATGTAGCTGCCATACAAACTGTCCGATACAAATCAGGCTCTTGTATGGAAAATTTTTTTATTTGACAAGATATCTCCACAAAATTTAACACAGATCAACAAAAAAAAATTTTATTGGCGCATGGGCTTTATTTAATATATTCTGGTTATATATAGCAAATATATATGGGAAAGGGTGAAACAAATCGAATATGTTTGCTTTTTAAGCAATTGCAGCGATTTGAACATTTTTGATTTTCGCGCCCATATAATGTCCGTCTTCGCCTGCATTCCGCATTGAACCAAAAATGTCATGCCTTATCAATTCTAAAGATTTCGTTGATTTAATAAGAGACTTTAATATATTCAAAAATAACGCAAAGTTATTGGTATCGCGATTAAAACAATGGAATTTACCGAATTCTGATGTTCGAATATCCCAGCGAAGAAAACGACATGAAAAAGTTTCTTGTTTCTTCAGTAAGGAAGATGGACTCTGTTTTTGTCATGACTCAAAAGGTTTATTTGAAGAAATCGGATTTCCTTGTCATACAACCGAATGGCGCCTTTTTATTGTTAGCCCCGCAAAAAGTCTAACAGTTGTTTTACTACACAATGGGAACAAATTTCTATCTATTCCTTTGACATACAAAGAAAATAACAACAGTATCAAAATGCTATTAACGGCAATTAAATATATGGAATACAAGTGGCAAGTTATCGGAGACTTCAAGATAGTGTCTTTTTGACTGAAATGCAAGATGGGTTTATTAAATACTACTGTTATCTTTGCCTGTGGGATAGTCGGATTGATGCTGCTCACAAAAACATTAGCCCGTACGTACCGATTACGAAGTAGGAAAATGCAATATGGGTCCAAATAGAAAAAACTATTATTCCAAAATTCTCAAAACTCATATCTTTGAAACGAAAAAAAAACATCTCTCTGAAAATTTCAAATTTTTTTTAGATATGTTAGAGGTATAATACAAAAAACTTGTAAGCCAAAATTTTCCTGCCATGGTTACTTTTTACGATTTTGAAAAATTCCAAATTTTTTAATTTTGGTAATTTTCAAAATTTTTTTTTCCAAGCAATTTTTTTCTCATACCTCTCAGTGTCGTCTGAAAACGCACCACCGTTCTTTATTTAGCATACAGTAGTTTCTGACGTATTTAATAAATAAACTCATAAAATCGGAAAACAGTGAAATTTTCAATTTTGCATAGCTCTTAGGAACAATTTTTTAAAAAATGTTTTATGGTAAGACAAAACTTTCCACCAAAATTCATTCAAATTGGTGGGGTCGCGTCCAACTATTTGTCGATTTGACATGGAATGATCCATATTAAATGTGAAGCATTTGTCGATCCTGAAACTATATTAATGCCGCCATTGCATATTAGATTGCGTCTTCTTAAACAATTTGTAAAGGCACTTAGTCATGAATCCGAAGCTTTCAAATATTTAAAGAATTTTTTTCCAAAGCATTCAGAGGCGAAAATAAAAACTGGAATCTTTGTAGGTTCTCAAAAAAAAAAAAATGGATTGTGATATTTTCCCGAACCCCGTACACAAAACGCCATTAATAAACTTAATTATTTATTATTTAAAATTATTAAACTGTAATATGGTACAGGGGATTGCCAAGGACAGCTGTGGTATAAAAATTTTGAAAAAATGGGCGCTGCCTCGCTCTCTAAATAGTTTAATGTACATATCTCATAAGGTCAAATCCTACCGATAGTGTGAAAATCGATGGACTCGTATTATAACCACGTCCTCTTCCCATATAACGGGTTTGTTAAAAACTACTAAACGCGCGATAAATCAATAACTAAATGCGCCACAGACATTAAATTTTACCCATAAGATGATACAAGCGGGCCAATGAGCCAATGTCAAATTAAAACAATGAGCGTGTCACCACCCAAATTTAGGTCAAAACCCTTATCACGGGACCTACTCTACCGATTTTAACCAAATTCGGAAGGTAATGTTATCCTGATCTTCCTACATTACAGTGCGAAATCGGACCAAAATCACGCCTACTTCCTATATTAAATTGAAAATTAGAGTTTTTTTTTCGATTTTAAAGTAAGTTTACAGCAATCTCATAAAAGAAAAAAAAAATTTTGTACAAGATAAAAATAAACAAGTAAGGAAGGGCTAAGTTCGGATGTAACCGAACATTTTATACTCTCGCAAAGTCAAATGGTATACTCGTTTGAGATTTCTTTGTGGATTGACTGATATTTTCGGTAGAAGGTCAACTATAGGCACTGGGGTCCACATATTTAGTACTTAGGGGCTTGAACAGTTTTGGTTCGATTTAGACAATTTTTGGCCACAAGGTGGCATACTTTAATCGCATTATTCACGCAAAGTTTTACCCCGATTTAATCATAGTTGCTTGATATGCTTAGTGGAAAGTGAAAGAATCAGATGGAATTGAAAATGTGTTATATGGGAAATAGGCGTGGTTGTAGTCCGATTTAGCCCATTTTCGCAATATATCATAGAAATATGAAAAGACCGTTATGCACCGAATTTGGTTGAAATCGGTTAAGCAGATTCCAAGATATGGGTTTTCACCTAAAAGTGGGCTGTGCCATGCCCACTGTCTAATTTTGAACGCGGTTCCTATAAAGTCATCTCATACTATCCCAGAGATAAAATTTAATGTCTCTGGCGTGTTTAGTGCTTGATTTATCGCGCTTTTAGTAGTTTTTAACAGTACCGTTATATGGGGAGTGGGCGGAGTTGCCACCCGATTTCAACTATTTTCACACCGTCAATAGAAGTACTAAAAACATTTGCTTCCAATGAATTTTGTTATTATAGCATTAGCGGTTTAGGAGAAAAACAATTTAACTGCAGATGCCCCTCCTTAATGTGATCCTGTGTACCAAATAACAGTCTTGTATCTTATTGCGGAGCTTAGTTATGGCAATTTATTTGTTTTTGATTAATGGCGTTTTGTGGGCGTGGCAGTTTTCCGATTACGCCCATCTCCAATACCAACCGCCTCACGGTACCAAGAAACATGTCTACCAAGTTTCATAAAGATATCTCAATTTTTACTCAAGTTAGAGCTTGCACGGACGGACGGACCGACAGACGGACGGACGGACAGACAGTCACCCGGATTTCAACTCGTCTCTTCATCCTGATCATTTATATATAATATATATAACCCTATATCTAACTCGATTAGTTTTAGGTGATACAAACAACCGTTAGGTGAACAAAACTATTATACTCTGTAGCAACAGGTTGCGAGAGTAAAAAAACACTAAAACTTAAATATTTTAATTTTGAGTTTATGTTAAAAAAGTCTATCATATATACAAAATTTTCAGATATTTTCTTTACCTACAACATTGCCACATAATGTTTTTCTATAAGACCATTTCTAACCCTTAAAAATCAATCACGCCACCCCCTTCCGTTTTTCGACTTCAAATCGACCAATCATTATTTTTGCTTTAATGTTTGCTATTTTATTATATCTTTCATTTCCGATGGTTTCATCCAACTATGAATTTTTGTGTTTTCAAAAATTATTTACACTGATCTAATATTATATTTTACAAAGATTTGTGAAATTTTTAAAGGAAATATTCAAAACTTGGCCATTACGACGTAATTCCGGTAGATCCTCGCAAAAAAGATGTCTTCGCGTTGACAGCCGAGCCTCTTACAAGTTCATCAAAAGTAAAAAGAAAAAAAACGTATTTTTAAGACCATAAACTAGGTATTGACAGAAGGAAAAACAAAACAAAAATGAAAATTGTATTTTTGGCAGACGTTTTTACAAAAAAATGCAAATTTTGGTGAAAATTTCTCGATGTATTTTGCTTTTATTAATTGTTGTAACTGAACAACACAAAAATCCTTTTTGCAAGACTTTGTAAATTATATCTCGAAGAGTTGTGTAAAATTTTATTAAGATCGCTTGAGAAGTTCGCGAGTAATCTTAAAAACCGACTTTGAAAATACAGTTTTGAGAAAAACGCATGTAAAGTTATATGTGACTATATTTAAACTGACCTCGAGCGCGCAACTTTTCAATGCTGTATCTCCAAAACTGTTACTTGAATCAACTTGAGAATTTAGGACAATATGCTAGACATGTTATAGACAACAACAAAAAATATTTAAAAAAATGATTTTTTTTGCAGCCGTGAAGCCCATGTAACCAACACCGACTGATTATCAATTACATTTCCTACAAATTTTATAGTTTTTTCTGCATAGAGCACCCATTAGTGAACGTTATGTATTGCCACGGATAGTTATTATTTACTCACCTGTACTTGCGGTGCTTTATATCCAACGGCAATTAACATTTCACACTTTACTTTGCATTCGTTACCATAAACATATCTACATACATATATGGTATAATTTTGTATCTATGTATATACATGCTATATATACATATATACTTTATATATATATATATATTTGGTGTAGGCGTATGTGTCTGTTTTTATATGTATGCTGTTTTTATAGCTTCAATTAGATAAAAGCAGCGACGAATATTATCAAAATTAATCGCTACAAACTGATTAAATGCTGTTGGCTATATGACTGCACGTTGTTGTTATTGTATATTGCTTTTTGTGGGGTTTTCGTTGGAATTTTAGCTGCAGTTGTAGTGTATTGGGAACCCAACACAACATTTCGCTAGCAGAGGTGTTGTTGGAAGGCATTTCGAATGCAGACGTTAATTGTTAATCAAACACTTAAATGCGAAATACACAAAATATTTGCGCATGCAGAATAAAAATTAAGCATTAATATAGAGTACAATTCCTTTTTTTTTTTTTTATTTTTCACAAAAGCTTATATCTTTGATGTACTTTAATAAATTTTTTCCTTTCTTATCTTTCCATATTTCGCCACAGCCAACACAGCCGACTGACTGCTTGAACATGTCCAATCAATCGGAGGTCGATTACGATAAACAATTTCAAGATGATTTGGCCAAAGCCACCGCTTTGAGTTTGGAGCAACAGGCGCTCGACGATTATCGTCGTGTCAAAAAGTATGGCACTGCCGCACATTATTACAGCGAACGCGCACAGACGCAGTCGCCTTCCTTTCAACCGATACATTCCGCACCGCAGCGACAGCAATCGACCGAATCGGCGAAGGCTTTCTATGCGCAATTGCGCACGCGTTACCAGCAATCGCGTGGCAATTCAAATGATATTGCTACAGCCGCGGCGCCGCCGCCGATACCACCCAGTCGTCGTCACTCGGAGGCCAATAATAATGTGTCCTTAAATGTGGCGGCTGTAACGGCGGCGTCACGTGAACGCTCCAAAACGCCACCAGCGACGCTGCTCGAAAGTGATCTCATTTCATTCTCTAGCCCCACCTCCAAGGAGGCGCAATCATATACGTTTGAGAAATTAATCGAAGATTTACAGAAGTTGCAAACAACGACGCCACAAACTGCTTTGGTGCCATTCGGTCCCGTTGCGGCAGCGCCCATTACACCTATGCATGCTGCTGCAGCGGCTTATCGGCACGCTGGCACGCCTATACACAACGCCGCGGCCTTGCAGCATTATGCTGCGGGTCCGGCTGCTGTTGCTGTTGGTGGCGCTGGTGCTGGCAATAGCATGCAATTGGTGCCTTTTACGCCAACGTCGGCGCAGCAGCAGCAGAAAGTGCCGCTTACTAGCGAAGAGTTGCAGAAACTCTATAATATGCCGCTTCAGCAGCAACAGCAGTATTATCAACAACAACAGCAACAACAACAACAATATATGGCAGCCATTATGCCGACCGGTGTGGCATATCCACCAGCGCGTGCTGGTTATGTGCCCACAGTGGGCGGTTTTGCTGCAACAACGCATGCCGCCAACTATACACAGAGCGCGCCACCTACCGCCGCCGCAACAGCCGCTTTTACGCCATCACAATTTCCGTCAACGGTTTCACACTATGGTTTTCAATATGGCGCTTTGCCTGGCAGCTCTACGCCCTACTACGGCTCACCGCATATAACAGCTGCGGCCGCAAGCAATATCGCAGCCACAGCGGCGCCTATGCCGCTTAGCAAGTCGCAATCAGCTGCGGCCGCGAATGCATCCAATGGCAGCAATGGCGGTGCGGTTGGCGCTGGCGCTGGTGGTCTGCGCCGTCAGACGCCGCCTGCGCGCAAACCGCCACGCACCGGCAACGATTTGATTGACCTGAGTCAGGAGGATGAGTATGTTTGCGCCTCGTGCGCTTGCATATATTTGATTACAATTGTAGTTTTAATGCTTTATCTTTTATGTGTTGCAGTTCTCGCGTCAGCGTGCTGGAGGCGTTCGATCCCTTGCTCAATACAGACGAAGAAGGTAAGCTTAGCAATGCTCTTGGCATTTCTTTAGCTTTTAGATGCTCCTACATATATTTTGTTAGCTTGTTTTAGCGTTAAGTATGCAGCATATACTGCGGCTAGCTTATTTAATTGACTTTTCAATAGTTTTTTGAAAGCTGGCATAACCAGTTCGGTTCTGCTCCTTGTTGTTTGGTATGCATTTTACTGTTTTGTATTAACGCTTACGACTTTCTAATATCAGTTGCAGTTGAATATATATTTTTTATTTATTGTAGCGCTTATTTTTTTAAATGAAAAGTAACAGCACTGTTATATTAAAAGATTTAATGGGTTATATCCACTTGCAAGTCAGAAAAAAAAACATTTAAAAATTAAATACATCTACACACATTTTGGACCCCTTAATCCCGTTGCCGATCGCCGGGAGGATCTCCGAAAAAAGGTGTCTGTATATATAATGAGAAGTGTCTATATATATAATGATCGAAGTAGTAGTCAAAGCTTTAATTTTTGCCAAAATGGCGGCTTTCCAAAAAAGTGCTTTTTTGCGAATAAAATTATACATCAGAGTGATTTACAAAATTGAAATTATTATAAAATATCGTATTTCTTCGATATATTATATTATATATTAAGTTCGATCGGTTTAGTCCTTTCGAAGAAATGTGTGCCGATTACACGGAGTTAAAAAATTCTTCAAATACGCTCATATCTCCGAAACGATTTGCCGGACAACTTAAAATTTTTGGATAACGTTCCATAATATATGTACATATATACATATATGCAAAATAATCTGAAATATATGTACATATATGTATATGCAAAATAATCGATTTTTTGAAATTCGCAAAAGGATATAACTAATTAGGAGTTTTAAATTTTTTACACTACCTCAAATTTTTTCTTATATTTTCTAAAAACAAAATAAAAAATTTTAATTGAAATTAAATTTATTTATAGAACTTATCTTCTTTATACTATTGCTAGAGAGTATAATAGTTTTGTTCACCTAACAGTTGTTTGTATCACCTAAAACTAATCGAGATAGATATGGAGTTATGTATAGTATATGATCAAGAGGACTAGACAAGTTAAATTCTGAGTGACTGTCTTGTCTGTTCGTCCGTCCGTTCGTGCAAGCGATAACTTAAGTAAAATTTGATGTCTCGATGAAACTTGCTACACATATTTCAAACGGTAGGGCGTGGCCCGCCCATTAATAAGCTTAATGTACATATCTCCTAAACCATTCAAGCTATACTAACCAAGTTTGCTCAGGGTAAATGTTTTTGCCATCCCTACATACCCTGTGAAAATGGGTGAATTCGTGTTATAACTCTGCACACTTCCCACATAACGGTTCTTTTAAAACCTACTAAAAGTGCGATAAATCTATAACTAAATGCGCCCGAGACATACAATTTTACAGCCGAGATGGTACAAAAAGGCTTTTTAGGAGCCGGTGTCAAATTTGGACGAGGGGCGTGGCACCGCCCATATTTATGTGAAAACCCATATCTTGGGACCTAGCGATTTCAACCAAATTCGGTACGTAATATTCTGAAATTTCTAAATTATAGTGCGAAAGTGGGCGAAATCAGTCAAAAACCACGCCTACTTTTCATACCAACTGATTTTTACACTTTTCAGTATACAAATGCAATCAGTGAAATATATAATAGATATTCGGAAAAAATCCTTCTCTGATAATAGTATGTATGTACTTCAAAAATAGGTTGAATCGAATCAATTAGCCCCCATATACCTAATAGAAAGATTTTCGAACTTCCAGCTGACTTTATACCGCATAAATCGGTCAATATATGAGTTATCTTAATGAAATTGAAAGAGCGTGTTTTTCTAATAACAATGTGTCGTTGTACATAAGGTATTTCCCCAGCTTTGATCCAGCAAGAGTATACAATTTTAGGTTACACCTGAACTTAGCCCTTCCTTACTTGTTTTTATTTAATTTGTTTCAGTTTTTTATTTTCATAACTTTTTTTTAGTTTTGTTTTTTTTCATATCTTTAACTCTTTTTAACTTCTCAAAGTTAGAGAAAGGACTGTTTGAATTTATTATGATAAAATTAAACATGAATAAGATATATTCTTAATTTATAAATTGAAAAAAAATGTTAATATTCCTTTTTATCTTAATATTTTTTATATAAAATATTTAAACAAATTTCTTTTGTTTTTTTTTAAATTTTATTTTATTGATTTATTATTTAATTTTTTTTTAAGTTGTTAAATATTTTATATGCTTCATATTTTTCAACTCCTCAAAGTCAGAGCAAAATTATAAAATTATTATGATTAAGTAATCATGCTTTGTTATTATTTATTTATTTTTGTTAAAAAAAATTTAGTCTAGTTTTTTTTTTTAATGTTTTATTTAAATTATTCAAACCCATTTTCTTTTATTTTGAATGTTTTTTGTTTATTTTTTTTTATTGTTTAATTTTTTTTAGGTTGTTTTTTATTATGTATAAACTTTTTAAATTTTTTTTTGTTTTTAACTCCTTAAAGTCAGAGAAATAACTGTTTGAATATATATGTTATGATTATTTAAACATGCTTTGTTATTTTGAATTTCTTATTTGAAAAAAAAGAATATTAAAAAAAATTACTTTAATTAATATAATTTATTTATATTTAGTTTTTTTTATATTAATATAATATATTTTTTATTATTTAAACTAATTTCTTTTGATATTTATTGTTTTTATTTAATTTAAATTTTTATTGTTTAATTTATTTTAAGATTTTTACTTTTTTATTTAATTTTTTAATTTTTTTAAAGTCCTTTAATTATTAATATTTGATTTTTTAAGTGTATTTTTTTTTTGCTGTTCTATTTTACCTTATTTTTGCAGTAAAAATAAAAATATTTATAATTATTAAACCAATTTTTTAATATTTAATACTTGTTACACTGTTTTAGTTGTTTTATTTTTAAAATATTTTTTTAAATTATTTTTTTAAATTTTTTTTACACTTATTTTTTATTATTTTTAAATTTTTTTTCACAATTTTTTTTTGATAATTTTTTTTATTTATATTTTTCTTATTATATTTTTTTTATACATTTTTCATTTGTTTTATTTTTTGCTTTATTTTTTTGCTTTTGTTTATATATTAATCTATTTTTCTCTAACTACCTTAATTCGATTTTTAATATTCAGTGTTTTTGTAATTTTTATTTGTCTAGGTTTAATTTTATTCATTTATTTTTTACATTTTTTTATATTTGTTTGAAATTATTTTTTTAATATATAAATTTTTAATGTAAATTTTTTTTTAATTTGCCATAGGTATTTAATTAGTATTTCACTTCCTTTAACTCTTTATTATTTTGTAATTATTTATTGATCTGTTTGTATTGTTTTTTGTTTATATTTTTTTGGTGTTTTTTATAGTTTTTATTTTTCTTTTTATTTTTATTTTTGTATTTTTATTTTTTTATTTTTTATGTTTATTAAATACTTTGTTTCTTTTTGCTATTTTTTCGTATTAATTATTATTATTTTTTATTTATTTTAATATTTTTGATTATTAAAAATTTAACGCTCAAATTCATTCTTAATAAAGTTTAACTTTTTATGTGTAAATATACCATATTGATTTAATTTTATCTAAAATATCACATTATTACATTTTCCTCTGTTTCTCCGCACGCACGTTTTATATACACGCTTAGTGTGTCTTCACATTTTCAATTTTTTCGCTATTTCTAATAACCAACCTGTATACTTTATATATTCCTATGCATGAAAAAAACGTATCTCACTTGTATGTACGTATGTACTCGTATGTATGTATGCTTAGAAAAGGATTTTTACTTTCTTTATAAAATATTGTATATTTTATTATTTTTATTTATTTCTCTATCTTCCAGTATGGAAAAAATAACCAACACATTTTGTTGCAAGCAAAACGCTTTTCTACTACCACACATACACATACTTAAAAACGACTAATGAGAAAAATATATAATGAAAAAAAATATATAATATTATTAAATGCATTCAAGGGGTAACAAGGAAGCTTATATGAATATGAATATCTATACTTAAGTAATATTTAAAACATAAAGTGCAACTATCAAAAAAATGACGAGTATATATGTATCTAACTCTAAGTAGTAAAAGACCTTTGAAACAAATACTGATAATTATATAACATTAAAAAATTTATAAACGTAAATAAAACGAAATCAAATTTCATAATAATATGCTCAACCGTCATTGTGACAAAAAAAAACAAAACAAAGACAGCAAAAGACAACAGTTATGCCAGGCACCCCACAGCTTGTACGTTCTTCGTCTCTTTCGTCGCTGTTGTAAATTATACTTTATATACATACGTATATTTGCGAGTATATAGCATTTGCACTTTTACATATATTTTTAGGCTCCACGTCATTCTTCTCCTTGTTTATTCAATTTCACATTATGTTTTGTACTTTTTTATTTTAAATTTTCACTATTTTTTATCGTTTATACATTTTTCAACGAGTTCATTTAATGATTTATCGAAATTCATAATCCAAATATTGTATTGTATTATTTGAATAATTGGCTGATAAAGTATGCATAAAAGTTTTTCATTAGAAAATATATAAATAAGCGAATTCCAACAATTCTTGTGCAGAAGTTGTTTTAATGTAAGAAAGAGGAAGCGCTTGCGCCTAAAAGATGCAACGTGACAATAGAAAATATTAGTGCATTGAAATATGTGATGCATACATTAAGGCGCGCAACAATTTAATTTATATATTTCGGCGTGTTTCGAAATAATGTGTATAGAAATGGGGTATCGCGCAAGAGTTTTTAAATTTTTCATGATTTAATAAAAAAAGTGCTAATAACATTTTTTTAAATTTTTATTATTTATATTATATATTTTCCAAATTTATTTTACAAGAATTAAAACCAAGGATTATTAAATTTCTCTCTTAAAATCACATGTTGCCAAATCAGGCGATTCTTAACTTGAAAATCTATTTTTA